TCGATGATGTGTGCGCCATCCTTTGAGAAATTATGGCCTATATGTCAGTTCTACACACCATCAAAACCCAAGGGGGGGGAGGGATGTGTGACTGTTCCCAGTGAAAGGCCCAACTCGGTGAGTTTTGTGAGAGCAGTCTGGTCTGTATATCCCATCCTCCTGCGTGCCATGCGCACATGCATCACTCGATCAAAAGCGTTTGGAAAAAGTCTAAATAATGTATGTCCACTGTCACCTCTGCTTGCGGGCGTTCTTGTTCACCTAACTCAGACATTCAGCTCACTCGTGGCGCATCACCGTTCTCACGGTAACCTGTGTTCAATAGTTGGTCATAGAATCGGTTACTCAACCACAATTGATTTCATTGCCTTCGAAAGCACATGCACATGTAACTTCTCGGGATCACGCCTTTGTTAATGAGTGAGATTACTTCATGTTTCCACGACTGCCGAAGCATATTCGTGTCAAACCTCTAACGTTATTAACTAGCACGATTCTTTAGGGACATAAGAGCCTGTAGATGGATGAATGCTGTTTACCCCATCCCTCCGAAGATAAATTTCTACGCGGCGCCTATAGTTTGGGTTTCGACATTGAGGTTACGGAAATGATGGTAGTCGGTTGAAGAAATGGAACAATTGATGCTAAAGTTGCACTCCGAAAAATACCTGATAAAATTGAGTCCTCGTGATTTCAGCTGCCTGTAACATAGTGCTGGGAACACTGCCTGTCCTGGCTTGATGTTGATTTGAAAGCTTTGCATTGAAAACCAGTTTATGATACTCGGATTCCTTTAGCATTTGTGTGGCACGAAAACTTGTGGACAACTTGATTATTCCACATGTCTACAGTCGGACATCTTTTGAATTCAGGTGATTACATATATACATGACAGGGGACTTCGATTGTCCCAATTTTATAAAAAGCCAGAACTATCACTACCCTTTCGAGCGAAACTTATCACAGTTTGTAGACTCACATCCGACCTATAATCACGTGAAGAATCCCACCAAATTTGGAACAGGCCACCAACCAGCAACATTGGACTTGGTATTAACAAGCGAGGAGCTTATGGTCGAATCGGTCGAAATAACGTCTCCGTTAGGATGAAGCGACCATACAGTTCTGCTTTTCGATTACATCTACCAAACCTCAATAGGAAAATGCCTGAAAACCAACACATGCACCGTTATTGACCACAATGAATTGCTGAACCTTGCTACTGTCAAATAATGGACACAACCAGAAGAGCAGCTAGATCCNTCCACTGGAGTCCTGGAAAAGATTCATTGAAACACTAACAGAACTCATAACGGTTGTCACAAAAACCAAGCCTGTCGGTGCGTTGTCTACACGATTATCACCTATCCGTAGTCGAACCAAGAAATGGATGTCATAGAGGAATTTCTCCTGGTGAGAGTTCAGATGTCCGACCGCCTACACTTGGGACAACTATATCTTGTTGAGAAGCCTTTGTGTAAAATTGGTGCCAGAGGATAAACGAAGGTTTCAAGAAATTCTGGCACAAATTTATTGTCAATCCACAGCTACTGTATAAGTATATCAATGCTACCAGGAAAGTGAAATATGGAATACCGACTCTAAGGCATGCAGGACGCGTTTCCACTACTACTGCTGAAGCAGCCGAATTCCCAAAAGTCCAGTTCTACGAAGTGTTCAATGTAGGTAACAAAGGCGGATTACAGCTTCCACACCTATCAAGTGTCCCATACCTCCAACTGACCACCGTCACGTTCAAATCTGAAACGGTTGAAAACAAACTTGACTCTGCGCCGGATTTCATCTCCAAAGGGAGACAACATTCGGCCACGGATCCTGACGTCCTTGGAAAATTACATATCTGAAATAATTGCCCGTTTATATCCAAGAATGTTTGGCAAGACGAAGATCCCTCAATCCTGGAAACAGCATCATTTCGCTTATTTACAAAGGTGGCTGCAGAAGTGATCCTACGAACTACCGTCCAGTTACACTTCTTCCTGTTCTATCAAAAGTTATCGAATCGACTGTTGCTGATTCTCTGATGGATCATTTCGAGAAGCATAACATACTTTCGCTGGTCCAACACGGGTTTCAAAGAAAACGCTCGTGCACCACAAACCTACTACTTGCACGAGAGGCAGTAGGCGTAGTCTACTTAGACTTCTCCAAAGTTTTTGACAGGGTTAACCACTGTATATTGCTGTGAAAGCTCCATAATTATGGTGTCCGAGGGCTGCTACTGGACTGGATTGAGGAATTTCTTCGACAACGTACCGTATCGGTTCGAGTTAATGGTTCTCTGTCGGGACCGATTGAGGCTGTCCGTGGAGTTCCACAAGGGTCCGTACCTGTTCCTAGCATTCATAAACGACCTAACAGATGTCCTTTGGGAAAAGGCATTATTGTTTAGTGATGATGCCAAAACATGGAGGACGGTAAAGTATCCTGAAGATTATGAAACCTTGCCGGAAACTCTCGATGCAGCTTATCGATGGTCCATCATTATTGACATCGAATTCAACGTTGAGAAATGCAAGGTTGTATNAGGTTGTATCGCTGCGCCACAGGGGTCGCTATCCATACTTGGAACTCAGCCATTGCTGCGTTCTCCAAACGAAAAGGATCTGGGAGTTATCGTTCGTGAGGATCTAGGATGTTCCACACATTGCGTAAGAGCGTCCTCAAAGGCTATAAAACACGTTGGATTGCTAAAACGTGTTTTTCGATCATTCGAAACAAACCTATTGCCCTGTTTATCATCAGCATACATTAGACCACACACCGAGTATGTTATACAGGCTTGGAATCCATGGCTGNCACTTGAACGTCCGCAGAGAACAGCAACCAAAATGGTCAAAGGGTTACAATCTAAGACCTACGGTGAAAGACTGCAAATTCTCGGACTCTATTCGTCTGAATACCGTCGAATACTGGGAGACATGATCCTCCTTTATCAAATACTACATCAACTTAACCACCCGTGTAGTACTCTATTGACGCTATCCAGGAATGGTCACCTCCGAGGACATCCGTTTAAACTTCTGCTCCAAAAGAGCCGACTGCAGGCGTCATTCCTTCAGGCTCAGAGTTTGTAACACCTGGAACTCTCTTCCACCTCAAGTTGTTTGTGCACCAACCATCGATTCTTTCAAGTCACGACTGGATGAAGCATTGACCCACCTAATTTTTCAGTACCCGTTAGTGAACGTCAGAGTTTGCTATTCAAGTGTACTACCAACCGAACCCAGTGTGTACAGACCCTATGGGATTCAGTAAGTATCAGCTTTGTAATTTACCCATAATAAAAATTTGAATTCCGGTCATAGTACAGATGTGATTGATCGATCAAAGCTCGGTTTATAACGATGCCAGAGGCGAGCAAGCAGATATTCATCATACCGAGCGCGTGCGATTTGCAGTCTGAGATGCGTTTTTTTACGACGTGCTTCGGCCAAGCCGTTACCCAGAAGCTTTTATTGATAAACATACTGAAGACCAACAAAAGCAAAAGTCCAACCGTTTTTCGCAAGAACGTTTTCTCATCAGAGCGTCGATGTCGTGGACGTTTGTCCAAAGTGATCTCCAGAACGTTCCCTGCAGCCCAATAGTATATCCTCACTACCACTCGGCCCTTGATGTCCCAGCAAATAAAAGATAAGTCCAAATTATTCGCTTTATATCTTTGTACTTGTAGTGTGAGACAAATTGGACACGACCAGGCGATCATCGAAACATATTGCTAAGCACTGTCTTGCTGTCCTCTTCAAAGGAACGGATACGTGCATTCGCAGCTCGGTCATCTCGTCGATGGCGGGCGTGTTGTGAACAAATTGGATGCATTTAGAATTATTCACACTATACCCCGGATATATTCCAAAGGAATAAGAAAGCGCCTTTTAACCACGGTCGAGGCGATTGCAATTCGCATTTTCATTCCGGAGTTATGCAAGTAAAAAAGACTGCCGTGGTCTGGACAGCGGGTTGACTTTACATAAAACAGCATCAACCTTCAACCAGTATGATCAACTACAATCTTAAAAACTGATTATTATTATTTTTCTCCAGTATCCTCTCCCGATTACATCGCGTGCTACGCATGACCTAATTTCTAGTTTGACGTAACCTCATCCCGCGGTCTCGCCCGAGCTCATAACCTTCATTTTAATCTGTCCATCTCTCTCTCCCTCTGCCGTTGTTTCGTTTGACCTTTGTCCTCTCACCCTCTCCACGACTGTAGCATCGACTATCACTAGCGTTGTCATAT